GATTGAATCTGGAAGTTGTTTTATATTACCTGGCACCGGTGTGGAATACCAGATGTGATATGTTCATGTGATATATTCATGTGATATGTTCATGTGATATGTTCATGTGATATGTTCATGTGATATGTTCATGTGATGTGTTCATGTGATATGCTCATGTGATATGTTTTTGTTCATGTGATATGTTCATGTGATATGTTCATGTGATATGTTCATGTGATATGTTCATGTGATTTGTTCATGTGATATGTTTTTGTGATATATGTAGGTGATATGTTTTTGTTTATGTGATATGTTCATGTGATATGTATATGTGATATGGTTTTGTTTATGTGATATGTTCATGTAATATGTATATGTGATATGTATATGTGATATACTTTTGTTAAAGTGATATGTTCATGTGATAGGGTTTTTGTGTATGTGATATGTTCATGTGATATGTTCCTGTAATATGTTTTTGTTTGTTCATGTGATAGATTTAATAAGTTCATGTGATACGTTAATATTCGTTATGATTGTGTTAACGGTGATATTATCGTGTGATATTTAATGTGATAAGGTTGTGCATTTGAGACAAACTGTGAGTTAACTTTAAGATAAAACGTGGGTAAACTTTAAGACACAATGTGAGTAAACTTTAAAATAAAACCCGTGTTAACTTTAGAACAAACTGTGTGTTAACTTTGAGCTAACATTTAACCACGGCAATAATCCTTGCAGCATGTGGCCGCATGTTTTCCTTAACACCAGCACCGTGTGTGTGTGTGGGAAGGGGGGGTGGTAGGGAGCGGAGGGAGTGAGGGATGATCATCGATGTCAAGGTCACAGAGCCACGACACTGCGCATGTGCAAACGACGTCATGCTGCTACTCGATTGGTTCACAGCGGTCACATGACCGCATTAGTATGCACAAGGCTACGTCCGCGCAAGTTGCCGTCATTTGAACCCCCACACCTCTCCATGTGCACCATTCGAATGCGCATCTCCACCGCGTGAGTTTATTTTTTCAGATCATATTAATCCTCCCTTTCACCCCCTCCCCTCCCATCTTTCTCTCTCTCTTTCTCCCCCACATGCTTGTCAATTTCTCCCATGTAACCCCCCTCCCCCCACACACACATTGGCCTGCATTTTTCTGTCAATCCCACCCCCCGCACACCCCATCTCGTCGTACAATTTTCTTCTTTTTTTTTTCATTACGCAAATGCATGGCGATTGATCTCTCAAAGCGCAAGAGACAAAAAGAATAAAAAAGTGAAAATAACAACCAGAATTTGTTGAGAACAAAAAAAAAAGGAGATATTTGTCCATACGATTGTATCAACATTTCATCCCTGGGGACATCTTTAGTGAAAGATAACCTTTGAATTTGAAATTAACTAATGCTGTAGATAAAGGATGCGGTATTGTGGGACATACATAAATTATGGAATACACTTCAAGTAGTTTAATAACTGTTTCTATACCGCTAGTATGTGTATGTTGAACGATGCTATTATTTCATATACGTAATATGTTGGCCTATATCAGTTGGATATAATACATGTAAAGGAAAAAAAATAAGATGCTTTATAATGTACGAATCTCACAAAGGGTTAAAAATTAAGCTATAAAGGGTAAAAGATGAGTTTATTTAATTATGTTATGTGTATATAAAGTACAGTGGCGTAGCCAGGATCGTCTCAAGGGGGGGGGGGGGGTTCCAATTTTTACCCGGGGACAAACTTTCGATTTGCACCCCCTCCCTCAAACATTCGATTTGCACCCCCCTCATACTTTTTATATATATACCGAGGGGTCTATGGGGGGGGGGGGGGGTTATGACCCCGCCTACGCCACTGATAAAGTAGTATTTTAGCGAAATTTTGAACTTAGAGCATTGCAAGAATATATTATGAATATGACGCAGTGTTTTAAAAACTAGGAAGGCTGACAAAGTAAATTACATTTGAAAAAGAAGTGAAACAATTCGTATTTCTGGGCAGGCTTTAAGAAATCCGTAGAATTTTTACGGGTTTGGTAGGCTGTCAGGTTTGAAGGCCGTTCTGATCCATCTGTCAGTGCTGCCAGAGGCTGACACGTGTCGTCTGTCACTGGCTGTCATGACATGCCAACTTGAGTGATGGGACGAGCGGATAACAAGGTCAAATTAGTCAGTGACGTCACGGGGCCGGAAGTGGGCGGGGATGGTGACATGGACATTTTTTTTAGCTTAGCTACATTGGGGGTCGGGCACATTGGGGGTCGGGCACATCAGGGGTCGGGCACTTCAGGGGTCGGGCACATCAGGGGTCGGGCACATCAGGGGTCGGGCACATTGGGGGGTCGGGCACGTCAGGGGTCGGGCACTTCAGGGGTCGGGCACATCAGGGGTCGGGCACATCAGGGGTCGGGCACATTGGGGGGTCGGGTACATTAAGGGTCGGGCACATCAGGGGTAGGATGCTCAACAGAGGGAGGGTCGGAACAATGTTGAGATATACACGTGCAGTAGTACTCACAATGTCTCAGTCTCAAACTATGACATTCTGGAAACAACGCACAGTCCCAGTCCTATTTCAATGTTTCCCTCTGTATCTTATGGTTATATATGAGCAGCTTCAGATATGAGCAGCTTCAGATATTGTCAGTTTAAGAACAATGTCCGCCATCTTAACGTAATACGTCATCTAGGACAGATCCGGAAGTGACGTGCCCCTCCCACTAGAGACTTCCGTCAAGCTCATCCGATGCCAAAATAATTTTATCGCTCCTATGGCAGAGTTTAAAAATTGTGTTCATATCCCTGCATCACGTGACCAAATTGTTTTCACTCGCACTTGGGGCAGCCTCGTTTTAACTGCGGGGTGGTCTTTGTTTATAACTGCATGATCGTTATATATATAACTGTATGATCTTCTATATAACTGCATGATCTTTGTTTAAACTGCATGATCTTTTTATATAACTGCATGATCTTTGTTTATAATTTATAACTGCATGATCTTTGTTTATAACTGCATGATCTTTCTATATAACTGCATGATCTTTGTTTATAACTGCATGATCTTTGTTTATAACTGCATGGTCTTTGTTTATAACTGCATGATCGTTATATATATAACTGTATGATCTTCTATATAACTGCATGATCTTTGTTTAAACTGCATGATCTTTTTATATAACTGCATGATCTTTGTTTATAATTTATAACTGCATGATCTTTGTTTATAACTGCATGATCTTTCTATATAACTGCATGATCTTTGTTTATAACTGCATGATCTTTGTTTATAACTGCATGATCTTTGTTTATAACTGCATGATCTTTGTTTATAACTGCATGATCTTTCTATATAACTGCATGATCTTTGTTTATAACTGCATGATCTTTCTATATAACTGCATGATCTTTGTTTATAACTGCATGATCTTTTTATATAACTGCATGATCTTTGTTCATAACTGCATGATCTTTATATATAACTGCATGATCTTTATATCTATATAGCTGTATGATCTTTCTTTAAAAACTGGGTATCTTTGCTTACAACCTCGCGATCTTTGTTAATAACTGCATGCTCTTTGATTAAAAGAACACGATTAGCATGATCTTTGTTCATAGTATATGTGACCAATAGTGACCATTCAAATTTAAGTAGCAGCACTTTGTGAGGTTTTCTCCGGAAATGTATGTAGTGTAGGCCTAAACATATATATGACGTTTCATTATAATTACATTTTAATAATTGATGGTTGTTGTTTAATTATACACACTTATATGCGAATGATCAACATTTTTAAAAATTAAAAGGTAGATTCATTCTTTGTCATTAAAAAAAAAACCTCCTAAAAATAGGCCTACACTACCGATATACATCGCGGAACCCAGGGAAGACAACTACCCGCATCACAGGACGACCTTCGATTCTTTTAGCATTACCTCCCTTATTTAACCCCAGCTCGCACGAGAGATAAATATAGCATGGACATGCGCATTTGACCCTGAAACCAGGGGATAATGACCACGTTTTTTCCCTAAACTTTTTCTTCTCCTCTTCTTTCTTTCCATTTTTCCTCCTTATTTTCTCTCGTATTCCTTCCCTCAAAAATTCGATCCTTCCCTCCCTTCTCTGCCAGTAATGCATGTTTAAAAAAAAACGTATTTCCTTGTTTATTTTCCTAGTTGAAAATCAGATTGAATGCCTTTAGCGGAGCGTGATGACGAATTTCAAATGGAAATAAATTTGGAGCGATTCCTGCGTGTTTGGTTCTTCTAGTGACGTCATTTCAGGATGTCACGCTTTGGTTTAATTCAGGAGAATATTAATTATTTTTTTAACAGCTCGTTTAAGTTTCAGAGGAGCGGTGAAGCGTGGATGGTGATAATAATTAAATGCTTGACCTTGTCAATCAAAGACTGACATTTTTTTAAAGGTGTTTGTAGATTATGACAATGACTTTTCTAGGGGAAAAAAAAAGCCTCTAGGTGACGAAATCAAAGAAATCTTAGCAGTTGTATTTTGTAAGTCAATAGAATTTTTTTTAGAACGAATCGTGTTGTGTCTTAGTCAGGTTTTAGTTTAATTGTTTTCACTACAAAAAGTTCAATTTTCGTTGAAGAATTCGGCATGACCACAATATGTCATTGTCGTAGAAACAGGCCCATTTTTCATTCTACTGATTAGCCCCGTAGACCGTCTGGTTCGAAATGGTATCTTCATGACAATCATTGGACGGTGTTTATGTTTATATTCACTCCAGTTACACAATCTCCCATTACATACAGCAGTAGTTACTAGGTCCTTATCTTGCCTACTATTTATATTAACGGGAATTACTTAGTGTTAGGTTTAGGATTGGGTTAGCGTTAGGGCTAAATTTTTTAGCAAAATTACTACATGCTGTTAGTCAACCTAAACCCTACGTGATCGAAATAACCGTTGATCCCCCTCCCTATTAAAATCCCCCCCCCCCCCCATTAAAACACGCGAGAGAATCTGATTGGCTGACTTACCGGCCCGGACCGTGACGTTGCTGCTGACGATGGTGCCCCCGGCGTTTGATGCCAGGCACCGGTACGACCTCTTGTGGACGTCTGCCCTGAAGCGGGGAACCTGGAAGGGGTGGAAGTAGAGCGTGTTGTTGGCCAGCACCGTCACCAGCTCCGGGATGTTCTCCACCTCGGTGCCGTCCTCTTTGATCTGTGGGGTGGGGGGAGGGGGAACAGACACGTCAGTCAATTAGTAAAAGTAACGAGCGTACCACACTAGTGTCTTCTTGTACCGTGTAAATACAAACTTTTCCCCCACATCTTTAACAGTGTTTCTTTCAGCATCTCTCGATCCCCCCCCTCCCCTAGGCATGTCTAAAGACCCCCCGAAAGAAATAGAAAAAAAAAATTTTTATATAGAAGTTGTATATACTTTAACCTATATTTCCCCTCCCTCTCCCAACGATATTTCATGAGAATATTTATACATCCCTTCATGGCAATAATAATATATGTAGAAAAAAACCCCCATGATTTTTAATTGCATCCCTACCCCCCCTCCAAATAAAATACAAATCAAGCCTAAGATCCATGCCACTTTGTAACTCCTCCCTCCCCCCGCCCCGCCCCTCCCCCTGTCTGCCACCAGACGAGTGGCTGGAACTGGACCTTGTCCACTCACCCAATCAAGTTCTGGTGCCGGACTTCCGCTAGCCGTGCAGGAGATGGCCGTACCCTTCGTGTTGGCGAACACCACCTGCCCCGGGGGTCGGGACAGCCATGTGGGACCAATCGGGCGAGGGTAGTTAATGTCTAGTAGACCTGCTGGGAGAGGGAAAAAATGCAGAGGTTAATGTCTGGTTCATCTCGATATGGGGGGGGGGGGGGCGATTGGATGTGGTGTGGTTGTATGTGGTGTGGTTGTATGTGGTGTGGTTGTATGTGTGTGGTTGTATGTGGTGTGGTTGTATGTGGTGTGGTTGTATGTGTGTGGTTGTATGTGGTGTGGTTGTATGTGGTGTGGTTGTATGTGGTGTGGGTTGTATGTGGTGTGGTTGTATGTGGTGTGGTTGTATGTGGTGTGGTTGTATGTGGTATGGTTGTATGTGGTGTGGTTGTATGTGGTGTGGTTGTATGTGGTGTGGTTGTATGTGGTATGGTTGTATGTGGTGTGGTTGTATGTGGTGTGGTTGTATGTGGTATGGTTGTATGTGGTGTGGTTGTATGTGGTGTGGTTGTATGTGGTGTGGTTGTATGTGGTGTGGTTGTATGTGGTGTGGTTGTATGTGGTGTGGTTGTATGCTGCTATGGCTTCTTGTATGGTATGTCTACAAGCTGGGGTGTATGCTGGGGTGTAGGCTAATATGGCTGCTTGCATGTTGTTGTAACACACTTCTTGTATGTGCTGTAGTTATATGCAAGTATGGCTGCATATATGCTGTATGCTACTATGGCTACTTGTATGTTGGCGTGGCTGCACACTGCTTGTATGTGCTGTAGTTATATGCAAGTACTGGTGCGTATATGCTGTATGCTGGCGTAGCTAAAGGCGGATATGGCTATGTTTAAGTGTATGGCTGTATGCTGGTGTAGCTGTATGCCTGTAAGATTGTGTGGAAGTTGATAGCTGCGTGCTGTTATGGCTGCTTGTATGGCTGTGTGATAAAGGCTGTATGGCTCACATATAAAGTTGGTTGGGTGCTTAAATATTTTACTGTGTAAGACACTGCTATCTGTAATAAAGTAACCAACACAGTTTACTTTGCTGTGCTGTGTTAAGATGAACGTGCATCCTATTATTTTGTGCTCTTCATTTAACTTTGACAACGTCTAAAAACTTTTACTACATGTTTTATAAAATAATCGACCTCTGACCTCTAGTGTAAAAATTAAGCTCACTAAAATATCGACCTCCGACCTCTAGAGCAAGAATTAAGCTCACCAAACTATCGACCTCCGACCTCTAGAGCAAGAATTAAGCTCACTAAACTATCGACCTCCGACCTCTAGAGCAAGAATTAAGCTCACTAAACTATCGACCTCCGACCTCTAGAGCAAGAATTAAGCTCACTAAACTATCGACCAAGGCCTGCAGAGCTCGGCAGTGAGTTGAAAAGTCCGCAAGCTAATTTCTCTTCAATGGAGTGATCTCCCGCTCGTGTAGGTCGCTACCTGAATGCGCAGGTCCCTGTGGAGAAACCCGTTCGCGTAATGGTCGCGCGAGCAATTAGCCCAGGGCACTTGTTAGTCCAAACGGCAGTCGGAGAAAGCTATTTAACATAACAATGGCCGCCGGAAATGGAAAACCATGAGCTGAGATGGGCGGTGGCCTGAGATTGTCTTTTCGTTTGGTTCAGTCAGTGCGGAGCGCAACTTTTTACGGCGTATATTTTATTTAAGAAGGGGAGGTAAATCATGATGTGCCTAAAGGGACGCAACTCTAGTTAAAACTTCCTAGACATTTTTTTTTAGAAAAACTAGCAGTCACATTTATAGAGCAATGTTGATCATGACGGTAACATGTGAAGTATATTTCAGTCAATTTTTAGATGGTGAAACAAAATGTAATTGGAGGGTATATCAACTATTCCAAGTAACCACTGTAATGGATGAAAACCTTTCGTAGAGTAACATTTGATTTGTATTTGACCCCAACTCTGCCTCTTTCACAATGTTAGAACCAGAAGTAACATTTCTTGGCTCATTCCTCGTATTCTCTTTATTGTGTAACCACCCCACCGTGTCACCACCCCACCTATCCAGCTACATAGCCACAAACCATCCGAACTCCCTACCCACCCCTACCACCTTACATGTATTGAGTGCCGCCCGGGGCGAACGATTCCCCCCCCCCCAATCTATCAACACCACTGCCCTCCCAACAGAATCAGACATGACTCACGACAAAAAAACTCTAATCAAAATTAGAACTTTATTTTAATCGCAAGATTTAACGAATATATTGCGCTAGGTAACTCAAACTTTAAACATTCAGAAACTTAAAACAGCCGTTTCTGTGGTAACGATTTTTGACAGTCGTCCGCTGTTCCACAGACCTGTAGTGGGGCGGGGGGGGGGGGGGGGGCAAGGTGCGCGCGGACAGAACAATGTTGACAGTAAAAACAAATCCAGAAAAATCGGGTTTACCCGATGACGCGGCCAGCACGCGAGCGAGAAGAAAGATTTACTACGCGCTTATTGAGGCGGGCAGGGGAGATTAGCACACCCCGCCGTGGGACCTACGATAGGGTATCAGTTTTCATTCCACTGCTTGTGTCCCTTTGTTAAAGGACGGCTACTCACGGACTAATAAAACGGTCGTTGCAGTTGCCCCCCCCCCCTCTCCCCACGATTCTGATTACTAAATACTAAATAACAAGACCAAGGGCGGTAATTTATTGCTATTTTTTTTTTTTTGTTCGTGGTTTTGAATTACTCAATAAAATGTTGGGCTGAATATTTAAGTACTTGTAAACACAACAATAGTGCAGTATTTAAATCAGTTTTAGAATGTAATCGAGAGAACATGATATTTAGGTATGAATAAAATAAAAGGACGATATTTTAAAAACCGATAAAAAATTAAGAAAAAAGAGAAAAGGAAGCAAAAAAAAAATGAAATCATTGTATAATCACGGTGTTGAGTTGACAAGATTTTTTTTTCATTCCGATAAAAAACAAAAATTCGTGATCTGATCGGTTGAATAATTAATTGGACTAATATTGACGTACAAGTGATACGGCCAACACCCCCCCCCCCCCCACCCACATGCTAGACGGTGCACAAGCAAGAACGATTTGTCTCCAAACAAAACGGAAACTGGGATGGGTAGGATGTGCGCATGCTCACACTTGAAAGACGATATGTATAGGTGACTGTAGGATGGGTGTGAGTGGGGCTGGCGTGGGCGGGGGTATGTGGGTGCGGTGGGGTGGTGGGGTGGTGTTACAAAATGTACATCTGCCCGTATCACACTTTGTCTACTTAATGCATAGACCTAGGGGCGTGATGTCAACTGATCTAGCCTCCGCCCACGTATCATTGATACTGGATCAGTGTGCCACCTGGTGGGATCTCCACCCAAAATTAACTACTCTAATTAATTAAATGAAGCCCACGCAACTCATCTAGATCACGCTCCATGCCAGGAATTTAAAAACTTGAACTCGCGTGGCTAGAAAAACACAGAACAATAAATATTCCGAGTTTTAAAAAAACGGTTTTAGTATTTATACATGGAGCTCATACATTTCATTTACGATAAAATTAAAAGCGAACACGAACAATGACGTTTTGGTCGAAAGGGTGTGCTTGCAACAGGAAGAATCTACTTCATCTGCCTTATAGTTCTAGTATACATACATATACATCAATATACATTGTAGTTTAAACAACATAATCCGCCGTTCTTCACAAAAAGAAATTAAACAACAATTAATGAATGTTAATGCTAGAAAACTTTGTTATATTATAATAATAATAATTTGACAGAAGCAACACAGATCCATGTTTATTACCCAAAAGTCGATAAAATATTTATGATGGAATATTTTATTCGACCCTTGTTCATGGAGCGGCCATGAAAAGTTGACTTTGATCAGTTCATGTTTGAACAGCCAGCAGTATAAAACGTTAGACTACTCCAGTTGTTGAGCCGTTCAATCGTGCGTGACGGATGGTTTACACGTGACGACGTTAGTTTATAGTGGTGGGGGGACTTGTGGTAGGGCTTTGTGGTAGGGATTTATGGTAGTGTTTTATGGTACGGGTGAAATATTCCAACATGCGCACGGTGTATAAAGTTGTAAGCCCCCTCATATAAAATTAGTTTTATAAGTCATAAGCCGCCAATCCAATACCCATAACTAGACGTCAGCTAGTCGAGAAAAAATCAATTAAAGTTGATGTTTTATTAGATGGTACATAAGAGGGCGTCGGTGTTAAGAGGAATGTACCGAATTTTACGACATGGGGGGCGGGGAGGGGGGGGGAGGACAAGGGTGAGTAAGGGGCAGATGCTTGACGCGCGTGTCTGCTCACACTTCCGTCTAGCTACCCCGTGTATTCTTTACACCCGTGTTTTTTATGTTTGATATTTTCCAATGCAAGCGCTACTCGTGTGGGATGGGTTACCCGTCACATTTCAAGTACGGCCCCGTGGGTGCGTGTTTGTACACACACGATTAACTCGGCCTGGAGTCATTGAATTCGCATGGTGTCTTGGTGCGCAAATCGAAATAATGGGCACAAGAGGGGGGATGTTACTCGTAATGAACGAACAAGATTATCCGCCCTTGGCTAGCCCGTAAATGGGATGTTATGGGATGTCATGGGGTTCACGGGGTTCACGGGGCATGGCCATGGCCGGGGTTTAATGTATGTCATTAATTTATGACATTTCTGATGTCATCTGGCATGGTTGTTTTTTTAACGTCGATGTCGGATTAGCTTTATTCGCCGCGGATCTTAACGGTGATAACGTCGTGTTGTGTTGATTAGAGGAATATTGGGGCGTGCTGGTTCAACTTTTCAGGGAAGTTTTTCTTTTAACATAGAGGGTTAGCTAAGGTGGTAGTGACCCATGGCGGAGCTAGGGGAGGGAGGGAGCGGCCTCCCCTGGTGCCGACCCACGGGGGGGGGGAGTCAATCGGTATGGAAACAATTATTAGAAATTCATTCTGAGCCACATTACTGAATCAAACAGTCGAAGTGAAGAACGAAACTGTCAACCCATAAGCTCTTACGACCTTACCAAATTTGGGTCGCGACAAGACCACAACCTACCA